TTTTTTAGCCCTTTTAAAACAATGATCAACAAACACTGAAGGGTACCCAAGTTTTTGTGCAATGGAACGAATGTGTTTCAATTCGTCATCAATAAATGGAACAACAACAACGGAAGTTAATAATACTTATATGCGAGGGTCAGTCACCCAGAAAGCAAGCGGAGGTAGCGTCGCACCCTCTTGCCGCGAGGAGTTGTCGGTCTGGCCGGATAATTCTCGTGTTCATGACCGCTTGAGACTCTACCTTGATCGTGTCGAGTGAGAAAAAAATAAATTGCCGACCAGAGATAGAATTTGTCTTCTTATCTACATGTAACACACACACACACACACACACACACACACACACACACACACATATCCACTCAATACACACACACACACACACACACACACACACAGGGGAGGCAGGGAGACACAGGAGTCACTCCAAGGGGACTCAGTCACTCTTACCCTGACAGAGGACGAACACACCCAGGGATCACTACCTTCTCTCTCTCTCTCTCTCTCTCTCCCTTATCTGGGTCATTCTAAATCCTCTCTCAGTCTTGTGGAAATCCACCCCCCTCAACTCCGCTCCCTCTCCTTACCGCCCTCCCCTCTTCACCTCACCTTTGCTCCTCTCTCCCCTAAACTCCCTCCCCCCTCCTCCCACCCCACTCCTTTTAGCCCATCTTGTTATTCCCCCAAACCCCACACCCCGTCGTCCCCTCCTCCTTTAACTTCTTCCTCACCCTTCCCTTTATCATCTCTACCCTCCTTCCTTTTGCCACCATGCCCTCCTCAACTCCCTAATACCTCCTTACCACCTCCTCCATCTCCTTCCTACCCACCCCCTCTTCTCCTAGTACCACCCCTCCCTCCCCTCCACCCACTCATTCCTGCATCCAGACAATAACTAACCCATGACACAACCCTAACACACTATTAGCTTAGCTAGGCGGTCAGCCCGCCCTCTCTTACCTCCTCCTAAACTTCTTCAATTTCCGAACTATAACTTCCTTCCCCCACCTCTAATCTTCTTTCACCCCTCCTTTCTCTAAAAAATCCTCCCCCACCCCTCTCTGCCCCCCCTCCTCTCTTGTAGTCACTTTCGTTAGCAAGCCTTTCCCAGGTGCCGATGGCCCCACCCTGCCCCGCTACACTCCTTTCCTTGCTGGAGAAGGTCGGGGGCGTCCTTTCTCTCTCTCTACCTGAGCTCTCTCTGGGCCAGAAGGTCGCGCAGAGGACTCTTGAAGGACTCCTGAGGGACGTCCTGTGAGCTGAGGAGGATCTAGCGGTCGCACGGGGAGGGGGTAGGAGGAGGAGGATGGGTAGTAGGAGGGGGAGGAGAATGAGGGGTTAGTGGTGAGCGTTAGGGGATGGCTTGGCAATGGTTGATAGATATAAATTGTATCGGGAAAGGAAGTTATCGTTCACGTACAGACTTTGCGTTTATACGGAGACCTTTAAATGAACTACAATAAATAAATTATATAAATTCTTTATTAAATATAATAGTTAACGTCTCTATTTATTTTTCATGACAGACTATGCTAGATATTGCGAAGAAAAGTTATTGAAAGGCTTAGAACGATCAATACCATTAATAAATACAACATCTAAAAAAAATAAACATTAAGAGACATTCTCTTTTTAATATACGAGTAAATGTTATTCGTGTTAAGCTTTAGTGTTTGAATTGTTGATGTTGGCTGGGGGTACGTCATACGCTCTTGTTGACACACCCAGGAAATGCCTGTGGTTTGCCTGGCCCAAAAGGTGGAGTCAGTTCGTATTTCTTATCACAATGAGAATAAAGGTAAGATTAGACGCCTTCCTGGGGTCACACACACACACACACACTTTGATAACACCGGTGAGGGTAATAGACAACATCAAGTAAACATTATCGAAAACTTATTGATATTTTCACTGTTCAACAATATTATATTTGGTCAGTTTCCTCTGGCATAAAAACGATTCCTCTTTGTTTCTGTGTTTACAGAAGCTAAATTAACAATACATAAACAAATTACACTAGCTTTGTTTTTTCTTTATTACAAGAGGAGTATAATTAACTATAACTAACAAGACCAAATTAAACTAGTTTTTTTGTGCTTTATCTTAACTTTAGAGTTAGCTAATGGCCTTTAGATGTGTAAGATGATATAAGTAAACTTGTTCTCCGTTTTTTTTAAGTTCGGAGTTGACTGAATATCGTTAGATCATAAACTAGTTTTTCTTGTCATTAAATACAGAATATAAATGTTAAAAAAAATAACGAATTTATGTTCGTATGTAAGGTGTTCACAAAAATGTCTCTATATATATATACAGAAAAAACTGACTACATTAAGCTTGTCTTGTCTCAAATTAGGGGTCGATCAACTGTCATTAGATATATAAAACCGAATAAAACCATCTGTGAAAGTCTTATCTCAATCAGCTAGAGATATATCTCCTGACGTCTCCAGAGCTGGTAAGATCGAAGTTATCTGTGTAAACAATGCAGTTTGGTTGAGGAGTCGAGGGTTCATGACGTCGGCATTCTTGACGAGAGTAAAATCCCTGACCTGCCCCGAGGCTCGTGTGCTGACCTGATGTGTTTGTTCTCTCTCTCTCTCTCTCTCTCTCTCTCTCTCTCTCTCTCTCTTTGTTTCTGTAACTCTCTTCTTCATCTTCTCATTATCCTTCTTCCTTCCCTTCTTCCTCCTCTTCAGTGAGTCATACCCGAAGGTTATTCTGTATGTCAGCTTCTCTGGTCCGTCTCCCGCTTGTTCCACTGCCCTCGGCTTCATTAACTCCATCAAGAGATAATTAACTGTTTCACTGTTTAGTTACGACTCTTAGTTTTAGCGACACAGAATAAATGCGATTAACCAAGAAAAAAGTAAAATTAAATCGTTATGGCTTTGTTTTAGGAATGCCGATTAGTTTTTTGTTAATAAACATTTAGACATTTCTTCTTCAGAACGTTATTTGTACGTTTAAACACTTCCTCTTTCTGGCTTAAACGGCATCTGTATATATATATATATATATATATATATATATATATATATATATATATATATATATATATATATATATATATATATATATATATATATATATATATATATATATATATACTATATATATATATATATATATATATATATATATATAGAGAGAGAGAGAGAGAGAGAGAGAGAGAGAGAGAGAGAGATGAATGCGATGTGCCTCCTTGCTACCCATAATATTGAGGAAAGGCAAAGTTGACTAGTAAAAATAAGGAATGAATAATCTAGGGGTTGAAATACGTGGATGCAGCAAGTAAGGAGCACACTCACAAGAATCACTGTTATCGTGACAGACAAATTTAAGTTATGAAAGGGATAACATTATCAAGTAAACTGAGTACAGGTATTATAATAACACTTATATTAAGTATTGATTAATATAGTTAATTACAGTATATACAGGTAAAACACACAATTTGTAATTATCAAAACACACCAGAATATTACCCAATTATTCTTACTTTCAACATTAAATACACTTACTATGTACAACAAAACAAAAACCTGACAGAACTGGCAGCTCAGGTAGCAAGTCAAGGTTGCGATGGCGAGCCACAAGGAACCAGGGATTAACGTCGTAGTCCACTACCATCAAACCATCACAACACCACCAGCAGTAGTCCTTAATACAATTCGTCGCCCACACCCCTGAAGAAGAGGAACACCGTAGGCCGCAGAGAAGAGACTCAGCTGATCAGGCAAACACACTTTCCTCGATACCTCGGTCTCATAGTCAGATGGGAAACTGGTCCCATAGTCGGATGGGAAACTGGTTCCGAATATGTGCTCACTGGGGTCGAGTAGCTTCGTGAAGCAGTTTCTTCTCCTGGTGTCAAGTTGGAGCAAGTGATGGTTATGGTGAGGAGGGGACAGAGTCGTCACAATATATATAAGCATTATGGTCGGGCACATACTCGTGATTGTCTTCCTCCCTTCAGTGTGTTGAATGGGGACTTCATCATATAATTTATTCGCCACAATTTGTCTTTCTGCCCCAGGAAATTAAGCTGCTTGATTAGTCCAAACTGAGCAGGGGAGGAAAGGGGGAGGTTCCGGGGACAGGAGGAATGGTAAGGGGTCTTAAGCTAGGCTCCACATCACCATAGTTCTGGCTTTACAATAAACACCGTCGTCTTCCCTTTAATTCCCTGGTGAAAAGGTATTTACATCTTAATTGATGCAGTTACAGAGTCCTTGACTTAGTACAGTAGTCTTAAATAATATTTAATATTAAGAATTTAAACTTAATTTCTTCAAGACTGTCACTTCTGTTAGAAGAGTGACTTGTGTGTCCATGTCGTCATGTGGGACAATAATTCAATGGATGTGTTTACTTGCGAGGGTTTTTTCATTCAAGGGCAGCTTAGCCGAGACCAATGCTTGCTCATCCTTGTCTGTTAATATATCACATGATGCTAAAAATATGCACACTCGGTATATAAATATCTAACAAGGAAACTCTTTTGCAAATCTTATATTGTGGAGTAACATTTAAAGTGTTTTTAAGGTTACTTCTCAAAACATAAAAATTCTGTACGATAGTTTTTTCTCAAACTGATTTTGACTTCTGGAATAAGACGACTTAAATCCTGTAATATTACCATCGTGCTCTAAACATCAGTAGTCAAGACATAAAGCATAGTATTAATGGGATTAAATTATTTCACTCAATGGGTCAGTTCATTGTACTCAAAGTGTTAAGAGAATACCTGTAGTTAAGGTAGAGTCTCAATGTCATTGTGAGGCCATTTGAGCCTTTAGTCTTATGCAAAAGTTTAAGTCAACCCATCACCAGTCATGAGGAAGATCTGAGGTGTAAACCATTGACCACACTGACTGTGGTTCTCATAACCAAGAACTTTATTTCCAAGAAAAGGCGAGGTTTTTGTTTTGTTTATAGCCATGCTCAGTACTCCAGGAATTACCTTGTAGAAAAGATCGAAATAAAATTGCAGCTGGCATTAACAATATATATTGAAAATCCGTAAATTTCTAATTTCTCGTAATGATACAGTTTATTTAGTATTGCTTGTATATGGAAGTCCGTGTGTGCATGGACTGTTATATATATATATATATATATATATATATATATATATATATATATATATATATATATATATATATATATATATATATATATATATATATATATATATATATATATATATATAGGTTATAGATGATACCACAAACTAAAACAAGTAACTTAATTCACCATCAATATGCTACTTCATACAATAAACTTCCAATGAGTACAGCTGTTGCAATAATTCCATGGACATTTAACAATATCTGACATATCAACTTGTGGATTATCTGTACACTTGGTTTAGAGCAGGAAACGTTTTTTTATCATAAAGTAAATTAGAATAACTTTTGTGTATTACAAAAACAAAAGTGACAAAAATATGTCAAAGCCCCAGACCCAGTATCCACAGTAAATGGCCCTAAAGTGAATGCTGCCAAAATTGTCGAGAGAATTGTGTCCATAACTGTACATTTTTCAACAAAAGCAAAGTTAATGGAGAAATTGAATATAAAAATCTCTCGGTATCACTGACTTACTAACCCTACTTCCTTATCACATTCTCTTATACCCCAAAAATTCATTTAATTTCATCATTGTTGGTACAGTACACAGTTCTTTCCCTCTAGGATACACAAATTCCCAGATTATATCACTGTACACATAATATACATACCTAATATGGTTCAAAGGTACGACGTTTTAGAAGTCAATTTCCTTTACATCTTGATAGGAAAGTGACTTTCCTTAATATGGTACCTTTGGTTCATCACTCCTTATGAAGTACATAAACAACCAGCCAGTTTGTTTTACCTGTGTTGTAAACTGATGACATAACAATATATCTGTTGTGATTTTAGTGATGACCAGACTTTTCCAAGATTTGCCGTGACGCAAACACACAACACAGGTACTTGAAGGCTGGCCAGGTAGCACAACGGGAAGTATACGGACCCAAACATGTCCCAGGCCAAACGGCCCAATGCTCCAACTGATTGTTTACGACATCAGTTGTGATCGTTCGTCACTCCTTCTAATTTAGTTGCCAAGGCTCCCAAATGGGCGCCTGGTCGGTACATTGGTCCTCGTTGCTGATGACGGTTGTGATGGGGCGGAATCTGAAGCGGTGAAACCAAATGAAAGAGCGTCTCCGTCTATTGGTGAGGCAGCCGTTTCAGCAGGGATCGGGTCAATTACATCTGGTGATGAAATTTCGGATCCCGCAGGATACTCTTCCTCGTAGTAGTAGTAGTAGTCATCGGGAGGAAGTGTGGTAGTGGAGGTGGTCGTCGTTTGCTTCTTTCTGCGACGGATACCGCCACCTGGCCTGTAAGACACAGTGGATGATGATCGCATAAGAACTACCCAGTCAGCAGCTGGATGAGGACCAGTGTGCCAATATCCTGTATTCATAATAATGTTAATGTAAGCGGGAAAATTATCCTAGAATGCTTTCATTATAACAAGAATTACCCTGTAATCATAGGAAAGTTAAAATAAACGTGGGAATGTTGCCTTGAGTGTGGGATTTTAATCAGTAATTCTGGGAAATATCATGGTATCTCGTGTATGAAATAAGCGAACAGTTAGATGCGGCGATGTATTTTTTATAACTTTCTTAAATTTATGACTCATAAAAGACACCAGGATTGCGTAAAAAAAAATCTTCAACCACAAGACATAGGTATCAAGACGACTAATAAAATATCAAGAGAGAGTATGATAAGAGCACATTATTATCAAACTACTGTATATATCAACACCTTCAGTCATTCATTCCCACTCACTCAGTCACTAGGGTTGTATATCGGACCTCGGGGTGATACAGCACCCCTCTCTCACGTCCCTCTGAACTCAAATGACATTACGCTCACAGTCTGAACTTCCGTGATATTAGTGTTCTTCAATGATTTTTAGGCGATATCATAGCAATAATTTCTACAGAATATCGTCGGAAGCAGTGATATGCCTCAATAACCAGTACAATAAATTTATCACTTTTCATGTCCAGTGGTATTATAATTACCTTCCTCAACCTATTAAACATCTCCTTAGTTGCCTACACTGTTCACATGACTTGGTGGGTCTGATATTCCATCTGTCTTTAGCATTATTTGAACAAAAAAAATTTTAAGGACCAATTGCAAGAACGGTTATGGGGTGCACGGCGCCATTTACGATGACCTTCTTGCCCTGGTCTTTTTTCAGCAATATCGCCTTTAACACATGAAATTCTGCACTTTTCGAAGCTTTGGAGGAGTCTCGAAACAAGTTTCCTGGTGGGAATTATTAGCTAGAGCTGTACTCAAAATATATAAACTTCGAGATCTCTCCAGAGCTTCAAAAGGGTGGTATAACTGAAACAAGATCAGGGCAAGAAGGTCATCGTAAATAGCGTCGTACACCCCTCGACTGTTCTTGCATTTGGCCTAACACCGAGGGTATTCTAACTGGGCTTGACGGTTTGTTGTATTTCAGGGTGTAAATGGCTACTCTGGTGTCTATTAGAGAGATGTCTGGCATTATGGCTTCAGCTTCTTGTTCCTTCAGAGGAGTATCCTGTGGCAGGTCTTTAATGTGGAATTTTCATGTAATTTCCACGTATCTGTTCTGTCCTCTAATATAGTGTATTGCTTCCTTTTGTTATCTTGACCACCATTATGTATTCCTAAGATGCCAACATTTAATTCTCAAAAATCCACAAATTATTTTCTAGAATATATATATATATAATATATATATATATATATATATATATATATATATATATATATATATATATATATATATATATATATATATATATATATATATATATATATATATATATATATATATATATATATATATAATTGTCGAAATAGCCTTTAAGCCTTTAAAAAGGAGTGAAGTTTTTACGGAATAAGCATAACTTTTTGTTTTCATCCCTATAAGTGAATGAAAATTAATTTGTGTATGGTGTAATTTGCTGCTTCATTGCAGTCATTGTTTATTATCATTTATTATCATAAGATAGGAAAGTTATACCTAAATTGGATTAGGTTAGGTTAGGTTAAGTCACCTAAGGTTAGGTTTTGTATGAAACTATTAATTTATATTCTTATGACTTACTTGATCACATGTGTCCACTCAGAAGTTCCCCAAAAGATAAATGCATAGAAATTATCGCTAATTGGCAATTATATCTATTCATGAAGAAAATTTTTCAGTTATGACAGTGAAATCTTGAGGAAGAGGACACGTAACTTACCTGTGGCATTAGGATGAGAGGTCAGAGGTCAAGTTCCTTCGAGTTTGGTAAAAAAACAAAGGTGACAAGGTGTCAAACATTACAAGGCCACACTCACTCTTCGCCCTGAGAGTGCAGCTCAAAGACCAAGGTCACTCACCTTAACACCCCGGTATCAATGGTCACAAACAGGTTCACAAAGGGTAAAGGAAAACTTCCCTTATAATGGAAATAGTGCGAGGGGTCAAGGTCACTCACCCACGTCGTATAGGCTCTCTTCTGTCAGGCTTGCTAACAGGGGTGTCGATAGATGTTCGACTCGGTGTAAGAAACGTAGTAGCGGCGGCACTTCCTCTTCGGGTCGGTGGTTTCGATTCCGACTGGATACGGACCCGATCCCTGAACTTAGGGACGTCGTAGCCAGAGGCAATAGCAGCGGCGATGATGTCTCCTTTAATATTGCCCGGGTCTCTCGCTAGGTTAGCGAAATAATCGTCGAAGTACTCCTTGTAGTAATCAGCGCTGGGGAAGGCAAAATATGTTTTAGCCACAGTTAAGGAAAATTTATGTATTTCACTAAATCCTTCAGTCTATTCCATAAAATGGTTATAATATCGGTGCTATCATGGCATGGAATGACTAAATATTCAGTTATGGTTAAGGTGTGGTTGAATTATTCTTATTCAGCTTGAGGTTAAAAAAATATTATATTCGGTATAAACTTAGAAAATATAATGAGAACCGACCATAACAATATCAAAAGTTGTTCTCTTCCATTTACTTGTTTTTACAGCTAAGACTTATGATAACAACTGTTACGTTTTAGTTTTGCGCTGAAGTATTTACACTTATTGTTTCAACACCTTTTGTTACAATTGTTACACATACACTTGACCTAACCCTGTCCTCCACTGGCTGAAATTGTAAGTGTTTCACGGAGAGATGGGGCTTCTCTTGGTTTACACTGTTAAGGACAGTAGGAGTTGTGGACACAATGGTATACAAGACATTTTCGTTGCGGTTACTGATGACACCTGCGATGTTCCGAGAATACTTATTTCCCCAATCCGCTGTTGGAAGTGGAACAGCAACATTATTACCAGCTTCACCAGGTGACACCTGTTCATCCCGAGTTCTTTTGTGCTCGCTGCTCAGCTATAATTCACTGACGAGACGAGAGGGATGATGAACTTGATGTTGATGGTTGGCTGTTGTGCTGTAGAAGGAAGCTTGTTTCTGCAGGGGGGCGGGGAGAGCAGGGCTGACAACCTGACTGGTGGTAATAGCAGCTTGTGGCATTGGAGTTACCTCTGCGGTTGGAGATGTGATGAGGTATGAGGGCTGTTTGTCTTGTGTGAGAGGCGTAGTATCTGTTACTGCTGTTGATGGCTCCAGCATGGGATCCTCGTTAGTTAATTCGATGACAGGAACTTGCGATTCTGCTGTAGCTTATGCAGGGGTGTTGAAAACAGCCATGTGACCATCCTCTGTCTGAAGGTACTCAATAATCTCTGACGGTAGACTCGAAGATGTCAGCCCAACTATGGTCTCTGTGCTAAACATAAGGTGTGTGCTTTATACCAGTGATAGGCAGTGTTTTTCAAGTTTTCAACAAATCAAAGACCAATTGACCATTCCTTTGTTCTGTCATCCAGGCAACCAATATATGCCATTGACACGTTCTGATTTTGGTTAAAAGCAAAATCGTTGCTCAGTATTGGCTTCACACAACAATTACTTCGGTTAATAGACTTTTGTTTCTTTTGACTACAACACAGTATGACTTGAACAACTCTATTGCCTCTATAGTTATGTTGTCATATTTGTGGTGTATAGTGGCAATTACTTATAGTGTATAGTGGCACTTACTTTTAGTGTATAGTGGCAATTACTTATAGTGTATAGTGGCAATTACTTATAGTGTATAGTGGCAATTACTTATAGTGTATAGTGGCAATTACTTATAGTGTATAGTGGCAATTACTTATAGTGTATAGTGGCAATTACTTGTAGTGTATAGTGGCAATTACTTATAGTGTATAGTGGCAATTACTTATAGTGTATAGTGGCAATTACTTATTGTGTATAGTGGCAATTACTTATAGTGAATAGTGGCAATTACTAATAGTGTATAGTGGCAATTACTTATAGTGTATAGTGGCAATTACTTATAGTGTATAGTGGCAATTACTTATAGTGAATAGTGGCAATTACTTATTTTCCCTTTTCACCCCGCATACCGTAACAGCCGTGATTTAACGCCACCACTATCCGCCGAGGTCAGTCTTGAACAATAAAGAACGTGATTCTTCGTGTTCAGTGACTGTGAACAGTACGTGACACATGAACAGAATAGTGTCTGAGTGTAGAAACTTGTACACTTTTGTTTACTGTTGAACTGAACTGAACTGTAGCTTTAAATGATTGTATATTGTTTTGTTTTTCATTCTATGGCTGAAATTCTAAATAAACAAATTCTCTGTCACCATCATTCAACACAATGCCAGCGTCATCAAAAAAAGAATGTTCTCTTTCAGTTATGACCGGTTCTCGATCACCTTGTTGTTCAGGCACTGCGGTATGGTGTAACGGTGTAAATATCGCGGTGGTTGTAATGGTGTCATGTTTACAGAACTTTATCCGTCCGTCCCAAACTCGGTATGTGCATGAAACAACAACACCACAAAGACATAACAAAGCAACACAGTCCAGCGTTATAGCGCCTTTGTTCTTTACTGTGACATAGCGAGGGATTTTACGAGCCTTTAAAGCTAATATTGCTATCGATTAAGGCTTTGGTGGATCCTCTATACGATTTTGGTCTTGAAATATAAGATATACATTTAGCGCTCTTTACAGTGATTATGCGGACCTACAACAACCAGATCTTCAGGCTGTAAGAGGTAAACTTCATGATTCACAACGCCAGAAGTTCTGAACATAGTCTTGGAAGCTTTGCCAATAACAATTTACTTCTACCGAAGAAAGAAGTTCCTTTCGTGTAGATGTGTGTCACAGAGTTGATCTGTTCCACCTGGTCACCCTCATGTTAGGGTCTGACTGAGTGTTGTGTGTTAGTTCACATAAGCCGGAACGACAACCACAACTGATCTTAATCATCTTGATTTTATCATTCCATTTGTAATCTTCTTTATTGTACAATTATTATCTAATTTACCTGCCTAATGGCGCCCAAACTTCCCTCTCCCTGTATATATATATATATATATATATATATATATATATATATATATATATATATATATATATATATATATATATATATATATATATATATGGGGGTGAAAATATAATAATAATAATAATAATAATAATAATAATAATAATAATAATAATAACAATCATAACAATAATAATAATAATAATAATAATAATAATAACAACAATAATAATAATAATAATAATAATAATAATAATAATAAATATAATAATAATAATAATAATAATAATAATAATAATAATAATAATAATAAAAATTATAAATTATAATAAAAAATAAATTAATAATAATATACAGTAGAAGCATAAATATATACCAAAAAAAAGATCAAGGGTGAGAAACGATACATGTATGTTGTGTTGTGTTGTCAAAGAGAAACAATTGAGACCCTGCAATTGTGTGTAAATGAGACAGAAAGTCAGATCAGCAACCTGGGACTTGGTCAAATTTTTTTGTGATGCCATATGGCAGCAGGGTCTACCATTAGACAATATAATATGTTTCCAACATCTTCTCAGGTGGTAATACTTCCCTATTTGATAGCTGCCTACTACCTACTACCATTAGATTATCTTTTGATATTACCATCGGACTATCTATTGATATTATCACTGGGCTACCTCTTGATATTAATCAGTCTTACAGGTATCAACGTTTGTGGATACCTATACTGTAACTAATTTCCTTTGGTATTCGTTTTGACAAGCTGTGGAAGAAATCGAACCCAGTGCTTGTCATGTACGCAAATAGAACACGAGATACACCGTTGATTAAGTCATGGTTTATAAATGCTTCAGTTATCTGGGTTCCTGAGCACTGTTCGGTAGGTATTCGTGACTTACTGCGAGTCTATGATGTTCTCTAAGAATCATTCTGACTAGTCATGTGGAAACTGAGACGCTCTTGTTTATAGAGAGACAGCGACGTAATGTCATGTACAAGAGTTGGTGGACTGTATGAATGAGTAACACGAAATCTGATGCCGTGTGTTTGTTATGCTAAGAGAAGTGAACTACAGATTTCGAGGATAAACTTGAAATTTTTCCTGTTTTTAGTAATTGCATATTATAGTATATTTTATTTTTAATTATTTACTAAAAATAACGTAGGTTCCAAATTCAAATCCTTGAGAATCTCAATCAAAAGAGAATAGGTTTCAAAACTAAACGTCGGTGAACCCTTAAAATAATATAGGTTCTAAAACTAAGCCTTGGGATCCCGGTCGAAAAACAGTATACGAAGAGGGGCGCTGGTGGTAAAGCGGTACCGTTCTTGAATCGCAAGCAAAATGTCATGGGTTCCATTCCGGGGGGCCGGCGGAAGTTGTTTGGACACTTCCTAGTCCCCTTGGTCCCTGTTCACCTAGCAGCAAAGTAGTTACCTGCTGTAAATCGAAAGTTGCGAATTCGTATTCAGGGACAAGTTGTTGGAGCTTCCAATAACTTACTTAGACATAAACCATTGACTCTTCAGGCTTCTACGCCCTTAACTCATGAGACATAAGGCAAGCATGAACTAAGCATGCTTCCCTGTTGGGCGCTGTAAACGCTTCTGCGCTTCACCTTACACAAGGGTGTAGGGGGGTGCCCAATAAAAATTTAAAAAAAGTATACGAAGACCTTACGCTGCAGTAAGTTAACGTGATGATGGAAACTAACCACTCAGGTACATCCTTAGGCGATTCACAGGTGGTGGTTTTCGTGTTGAAGACTTGACCAAAAGCACAGCCGTTCCTGCGGGGGGTTTGGCCGTTGATGCACACGTAGAAATACTGACAATCATGGGGGTCAGCGAAGCGAGGGTGACTCACTGCTACCTCATGGCTCACCTTAGGACAGGTGAAGTTGTTTTTATCTGCGGAGGCGGTAATACAATATAATACAGTACACTGCTTAATAGCCAATTGGAATACAGCTGAATAATTTAATAATTTACAAAACTGATATATTAACAGCACAGTGTAGTAAAATATAGTAAACAAGAGTGCTTATAAAAGAATGTCATTTACAACAAGACTAAACAAGGCGATATAATTCAGTTTAATTAAATTAAACACAGTGTTGTCTATCTGAGGAAAATAACACAAAACAAAATATAGAGTCATTTAGATTTTAGAAGACATAAAATTTTCCCATGTGTAGCCAGAAAGCAGTAAGTTATTTAGGTAAATGGAGACTGATGCTTGTGGTCTTGTTAAGTCACGAGGTGTTTATGTGAATATTCTGGAATAAATGAAAAACTTTTAAACTTACTGCTTAATGGTGATGGGATGTGATGTACACACACACACACACACACACACACACACACACACAATTAAACTGAGACAATTCCTATTAGTCCCTATCATCCTGAAATATTAACCTATATCTTACCTATGGATGGTATATCAACTCATTTTGATGTTATTCCTAAAGTTTCATTAAAAGTAAATAACTTAGATACTGTTCCAGATATGTCGATAGTAAAAACATCAAATCAAAATATTGCCAAATTCCGAAAGATGTCGCAGATGAAGACAAACCAAAACATTCCTTGAAAATATAGACAGGTAATTTATCTTTCAGTGGTTGGTGAATTATTTTTGTTTTTATTCTGATAAATTGGACTTACTCTGCTTTTCACAACATCAACTGGACGTAATTTACGTTATATAACATCAACTGGACTTAATAAATCTACGTCTTACAACGTCAACTGGACTTATCTGCGTCCCACAACGTCACCTGGACTTAATATTTGTCAGCTAACATAAATTGGACTTAATCTACTTCTCACATCATCAACTGGACTTAATCTACGTCTCACATTATCAACTGGACTTAATTATTCTACGTCTCACAACGTCAAATGGCCTTATCTGCGTCCCACAACGTCACCTGGACTTAATATTTGTCACAAAACATCAACTGGACTTAATCTAATTCTCACACCATCAGTTGGACTTAATCAATACACAACAGCAACTGATCTTACTTTGCATCACATGATCACACTCTCAACTTCAAAGACTTTGGACTTACTCCTAACTTCATCAACAACTATAGTTATCTACTTGACATTTTTTCTATCTTTCTAGCTATCTATCTATCTATCTATCTAACACCATCAACAACTGGACTTACTCTGAACATTGCAATCGGTCCTGTCAGATTGGTCGGGCCAGTCACAGATGCCATTCGCCAGAGAGAAGGCGAGGCCCACCGGACAAGAAATGAGAGTACCTTCCCCATTCACACAGCGGTACGCGTCCTGGCAGTTCACGGCGTCTTTCGGAGCAAAGTTACCATTCTGTCGATCGCAGAACTCCGTCGGCTGAGGTATTTCTGTGAATCAGGAAGGCAGGGTGAGGTGAGGAGTGAGAGTAGAGGGTGATTACGAGGTGTTGTGAAGGAGAACGGGAGAGATGTGACAGGGAGAGTAGACGGGTGATATAAGTGGTGGTCAACTCGTAGGGTAGTGGTGGTGGTGGTGGAAATAGGCCGATGAATTAGTGGAAAAGTGATGGTGTTGTTAGGGTGTGGTGGTGGCGGGTGGCGAGGGAGTAAGAGCTAATCGTGATGGAGGATGATGAGGGTGATGATGATTTTGCCGCTTACAGCGGCTAATTTATTGTGCACCCCACACTCATCCTGTGAGCGGTAGCGCAAAAGGATTACAGAGTAGAGTTTACAACGGGTCATGATAATTAACCCCCGTTGTCAGGATATTATGGCACTGAATATTACACAGTATTTCAATTACATTATTTGTTTAGTTCTATACATAAAGGGTGATGTGTGGTGGAGGGTGGTGAGAGAGAGAGAGAGAGAGAGAGAGAGAGAGAGAGAGAGAGAGAGAGAGAGAGAGAGAGAGAGAGAGAGAGAGAGAGCGTTTAGTTTGCTGTTATTTCCCCTATGAGTCCTGTTATGTATTTCTCTATAACAGATCATTACCACCTCTTCATTCTTTACACTATCATTGCATTAAGTGAACCTTTCGAAATTTCCCTCATTTCTGGCGCTCTCAGCAAGGAGCGTCACTTAATAACCATCATTAACTCTTATGATGATTGGTTGTGGTTGCTGAGGATGCCAAACAGTGTGGAGCTTAGTCGACAAGTTAAGTCTCATTACACTGTTTGTTAATCACTTCTACTCTATACCAAGTGTTCTCTTCTTCCAACGGTATATTGTTTGGATTTTTTTCACTTTTTCTCCTCTCTATGTATGTATGCATGTATGTATGTACAGAATGTATGTATGTTCTTCAGCAGGTATGAGAGAACCCCCCCCCCCCACCCCCCCCTGGCTCTCCGGGGTGGTTGGGTTTTTTGTACAGATGTCAAGTAGTCAAGGCGAAACAGGTCAGATGTCACGGCTGAGCGATACCGTTGTTTGTGACCTCCTGTGTGACCCATCTGTGACCCCTGAGTTTGAGCCTCCTGTGTGATCCATTTTTAACTCTCAAGTGACCGATGTGCGTGTGACCTATGTTTGTGATCTATGTTTATGACCGCTGTATGTGACCCTTGTGTGTGACCCATGTTTGCGAGCCGTGTGTGTGACCCGCCTGAGACCTAGTGTGACCCTGGCACTCATTATTTACCAAGTAAGTGAAGGTGGTATAATTATATTGCATGTATGAGGATGTTTCTTTGTCATGTTGGAGGGAGTTTATTTATTTGTCTGTCTGGCTGTAAGTAGCAGTTAATGGGTGACTAACTTTACAATTGGAAAAATAAATGCAGTCAAGTGCAGAGTCGCCGAGATTTAGTATTCAGTGTGCTACATCCGTCAGTCGTTTGGGTATTCTGGCTTTCTGTTAAATTTTCTACGTCAATAGTTTATATTGTAGGTTAAATGGGCATGGTAACGCTTTTATATGTACCATAAACTAAAATAAAGAATACAATATGTGTAATAATATTTACAATTATCATTAGTTCAGTCGAAATTTTCATTGATTTTATTATCTGATCTATTGTAGGAAACCACTGAGAATAAATTACATAATGTATTATATAAATATTGAATGATAATAATAACAATTAAATTATAATAATTAGCACAAAATAATGAATAATAATAATAATAATAATAATAATAATAATAATGATAATAATAATAATAATAATAATAATAATAATAATAATAATAATAATAATAATAATAATAATAATAATGATGATAATAATAATAATAATAATAATAATAATAATAATAATAAAGGAGACATCAGCACTCACGCAGGTCGGGTCGCTCGGCACAGTCCACCATGCTCAGGAGGTCACACTTCTCCACAGTGGGGTTTATGTCGTTGAAGGCCATCCCGTCAGGACACAGTTTCTCCGTGAGCACATTATCAATACACTCGTAATACTTGTCGCACTGAAGAGAATCGGCGAAGAATCCGTTGGGTGATGGACAGTCTGTGGCGAATTCCTGCGCGTTGGCTGGAAAAATAATAGTTATTGTAAGGTTGGGAGGTCTGGAAGATGGCGATAATTGGGACACAATAATGATATCGTAAATAATAATAAACTATCAACTAATATGCAAATAAATCACTCTAAGTGCGCGTGATCCATGTACTGTATATGTTGATAACAACATAGTAAAAAAGAAAACACGAAGTTCCCAAGTGCTTGTGTCTCACCCCTGAAGATGTGAATTTCACAAAAGCGCTTGGGAACTTCGTGTCTTCTTTATATATATATATATATATATATATATATATATATATATATATATATATATATATATATATATATATATATATATATATATATATATATATATATATATATATATATATATATATATATTGAAACAGTTATAACTTCAGAGCAAGTTTTTATTCTAATTTTTACAGTACGGATTAGAGAAAACTCTGAGTCTGGTCATAATAAAATCATTCAAGCTTTGTTCTGGATTTGCCACACACCACAGCACTACTGCCGTTATCTTAGAAACATTGGATAATTGAAATGTAAACAAATAATTCAGAAACATAATTGTATTCAAAGGGAAGCTGAAATCCATCACTTGTTTGTTATATACTGTGTTTGGAGTCGTTGTAGTGGCGCTATATAAGTACCACTTTACTCCTGGTTGTCTGTTTTACCTTAGTATGTGAGTTGCTATAATTGTTAAATCATTCAAGTAATAACTGATAATGTCATTGGGTTAACGGGGTGCGGTAACCACGGGGACGTATCTCACCTACAAATAATTATATAACGCAATCCCATAATCTCTCTGTCACCACACACTTACAGGCGGTGACCACACTCTGAACTGACCTACATATCTTTGTTAATTCTGTCTTGATTGACTGAAGACCACAAAAAAATAACACACATTACCATATCATTACAATGGATCACCTTAGTCATCTCTAGGGTAATTCAGACTGTGCTAATAACATCCCTATAATTAAGACGTTTTCCTGGTATATGGTAAAGCTTCACCATAACTTTCACTGCAACCAAAACTTTCTTAAGAGGAAAATATCACTTTTACCCCACCACCCAGACTTTCACTGGTAAGACATATGTTACCCGAGGGAGTTGCTGGTGATCGTAGACTTACAAGTTTACCAGAATGTCGACTTGTTGTTCGACCTTGTCTTGAGAGGTTATATATTTTCTTCTTCCTCACCGAAAGGTCATAGTCATAAGCACCGGCTACTGGTGTGTGTTTATGGATGTGTGAAGGCGATTGAGTACAAGTTTCTTATGACTGAACAAAACCATATATGAGGAAGTTGATAAGTGCAAATATCTTGGTTGCTACTAGCTAATATAATGATAATACAAATAATAATAATAATGATAATAATACTGATGATAATAATAGTAATAATAACATTCTTAATTTTACTCAATATTTTCATTTCCTCTATTATTTCAATTAACCTTATCATCAAAAAAGACCTGAACTTTAATGCACCCAACGTTTCCCTCCCCACGGGCCTACTGAAGACCTAAAACTCCGGAATATCAACCTAATTCTTAACTATGTGTTGCCCCCTTTCATAAACGTGTTCTCTTCCTTCATCTCTTTATTAACTCTAGTACTAATTTTCCCTTTTCTTATCTTTGTCGCTTCTTAACCTTTATTTTGTACTTATACGTAAATCTAAGTTGCTATACATAAGGTATTTATTTATTAAAACCTTACTCTCTCTATCTCTATCTCTCTCTCTCTCTCTCTCTCTCTCTCTCAACCTTAAAGATTAATGAAAATGGACAGGAAATTCCTTCTCGCCTACGTTAATATTACTTATGTTTATGATGAAACATTATGAGGTGTGTGTGTGTGTGTGTGTGTGCGCAAATGTATCTGTAAGTATCTCTGTGTGCGTATGTGTTTGTGAGAGTGTGTGTGCATGTATACCTGTCTGTCTGTGTGTATGTGACTGTATGTATGTTTGTCAGTGTATGTGTGTGCGTCTTAATCCCTCTGTGGCCACCCTACACCCTCCCCTCTTCCTCCACCGAACAGTAATGTCACGCCGTCAAGGACTCGAGGTAGATAATTACGTTATATGTCCTTGAGAGAACCAGACCTCTCTAACCTCTTCCCTATTCTTCCGATGACCTATCCTCCCATAATCCTTTATCAGCGTTCTCTTTTCTCCTCTCATCTTTACTCCTCACCTTTTAATCTGTATCTTTTCACATCCCTACCCTATTCTTCCTTTTATCTCTCCCTTCCATTATTACCTTTCCATTACCCCTTCCTCCTCTCCTACTTCTTCATCCTTATCTTTTCCCCTCTTGTTAGAAAAGGTACACATGAAGTTAAATAAATATATAATAGCTTTAAAATCAACACACTGAAAGACATTTAAAGAATTAAAGAACAATATTAGAAGCTTATGACAAATTCGAAACCCTGAACTGACCCTCTACAGCTATGACAAATATGGCGAGACTAGACCTTACATGTTTGAGGGCGCAAAGGTAATTGTTGTTTTTATATAAGTAACATGTAATCAAAGCAACAAATTAATTTCTTTTTTTACTAAATTATCCATACCAAGAATATAGACAGATGACGATTGGGCACATTTTGTTAGAGACTAAAATAATACTTAAAGGAATGTTAAATAATTATTGACGGATTGAATTATTATTATTAGTATTATTATTATTATTATTTCTATAAGTGAAATTTGCCGTTTCAGAGGCCCGGTGAACGGTGCCTGATAACCCTGGCAGTTCAAGCTCCTTAAATAATTAAATCGACAAGGAAAAATTACTGATTGTTTAGCAACAGGAAATATAAAATACTAAATACACTATATTTCGTGTCTAGATAATGATAAGGTAGGTAGAGGAAGTGTTCACATTGTGTAGGCCGCCACGGTGAACACTTTCTCTCTTATGAATATTAATGTACTGGGTGTTGTACTCCATGTTGATGGTTACCAGTTTTACAATACTTATTTGTTAGATTACTGTGATTACTTTTGTGACACCAAGACTGGTGATCTCTTCCATTTTAAAGAAGTTGATGGATAAAAGCTAACACAGGCGGGGAACAGCTGGTGAACGAGGTGTACTGTGTGATGGACAGTGATAGTCTCTCTTACTGTATTCTGGACCTTAAATCTATGAAATAACAATTACAAAGTACATACATGTTATAATATGTAAAATGTATTCTTAAGATATAGTAGACATAACCATACGTTAAGTTGACGAAGATCGGGAACTGACGCCGTCCTTGATGACTGATTTGTCACCTGTCACCTGTCAGGTGACTGTATCTTGGATTATTCAAGTATGCTGACGGTAAACGTGTACAAAGTATATTAAGCTAGATTCATGAGTTATCAACCTAACTACACCAGTCCGCCACCTTTTACGAAGGTCATCGCGTCTCTCTGGAGCTTCTGCGTCATGCGCACCACCAACACCGACCACTTGTAAGACACAGCCTCCATCAGTAACTCTAATGCACACCCCAGCCTAAGTAACATAGATGAGGTCAAGAGCTGGTACACGAAACTTTTGAAATATGTCCGACTGTCGTAATTTATTAAATTCTGTATTACGCAATAAAACACGAGAAGAGAGAGTGATGTTGAAGTTAGCAGCTCACGCAGTGCTGGTGTAGGTCACTACGGCAGCTCATGGCTCGCCACCACACACACTACTGCCGCCTCCTAACTGTTCTTTACATTATCCCTGTGACTCCCTCGGAAATATAATCTGTTGTAATAAGGTTAAACACATACAAGTTAATTATCATTTACTGCTCCAGGCCAACAACAAATATATTTTTCTCCGTCACTGACTGGGTGACGGAGACACTGATACAGTTGTTGGCACAGCTTGATTAGGTAAGTTTAGTTGAATTTATTTAAGTTCAATCAAAGGTGAGAGTAAGTGGTTTTAGTAGGTTACAGTTCCCAATTACAAAAATAAATTTCTTCCGTTAATGAGTGAGTGAGTGAGAGAGTGAGTGAGTGAACGGGGAGTGAATGGGTGAGAAACTGAATCATTGAGTGATTGTCACACGGAAACTGCCACACCTTAATTTTTCTCACCAGGAAATGATGGAACCTCAGCAGTGATAATGTTACATAACTTGCCAGAACATTTATATTATGACCTTTGTGCTCTAGTTACAGTATGTGTACAGGAGTTTTTCCCTATCAACTTAAGAGTTGCAAAATTCACAACAATATTCAGGAAAAGTTCACCGCCTGATCTTCATAATGTTACACCAATATACACCCTTCTACATATCAGCCAGCTTATAGGAAAAAATCTCAATGTTATACGGAACAAATACTTTGAAGATTATAGTTTTCCTTCTGACTCATGTACAACAGTTTATAAATCTCACTCAAAAGAAACATCTTTTCTCCAGCTCTATAGATGCTTTTAGTAGACACTTCCTCTCACGACATTCTAATTGGGGAAAATACTTATTTGGCACCAAGAGAGGACTATTAGAATTATTTCGAATATGCTTCAGTATTTGTATTTAGTAGCTTATGTGAATCAGTAAACCAGCCATGCTCATTCAGCAGTGTGGCATTACGGCGTACCTCAGGGATTAATTTTAGGTCCTATATTGTTTCCATATATATATATATATATATATATATATATATATATATATATATATATATATATATATATATATATATATATATATATAAATGATATTTTTAGATTGGATCCTTCACTCCCCTAACTTATACATGTGAATGACACCAATGTTTCTACCTCAGGTGTTGTGTAGGTGCAGAGGGTCACGCTCTACCAGCTAGTGTTCCAAATACATGTCTATCTTTTTGGAAATCAATATGAAAACGCATCTCAATACAATTTTAACTATATTTTTTAGATATCTAATCATTTATACTTTATTTTCTATTTACTATTTCTTACATATTTAATTATATGGCTTTGTTACATAATCACATTGGAATGTACT